GTTGTGGCTGAGACATTTCATCACTATAAGGTATCGCCAATATACTTGGCAACGCTGCAGGGACTACAGAATTACCCAGATTTCGATAGAGTCAAAGGCATTTTCATAGTCTACGAATGCTAGACAAAAGGACAGATTATACTCCTCGGTCTTATCTATAATCTTAATCATAATTGTGTGGATGTAGTCTATCCGTATACAGAACGGCCATAGAAGCTTTTCACTTCCAAAAGAACTGCCGGCTTCGAAGCAACGACTTCTCCACTTGCTGTAGTCAGTTTCGTAAGGTGGCTTCTTCCAAGAGATTCTGCTGAGAGAGAAGAGATTCTGATTATTGGATGGAGCACCGAAGGTCGTGTCGTAAGAGTTTACTGATCTCTTGGTTTAGAGTCAACTTTGCCGACGAATTTTCAGGTGGGTTTTAACATTGTTCATTAGCCCTAGGGTCTTTTCAGAAAGCGTCGACCTTCTGCACATACGCTGCATTTCACAAAGTCTCGTACCTTCTTCCCTGAGGATCCGAACCACATTTTCGAGGTTCTGGTTTACGTCGGTTATGGTTTCCACGGCAGCGAATCGGTGTTCCTGATTTGACTGGAACGTTTCAGATCCTGTGATGGCTTAAAGTAGAGTTGGTCGGAGACTGCATCTCATCAAACAGACACTGAACGTGTCGTGCTTTAGAGTGGATATTCAGAGAGACTCGGGCAACTCAGTGATCACTACCGATATTAAACCTATTGATTACTGAGACGCCTCTGAATATGTGCTTTCTATCCGTGATGGTGAAATCGATCTCATTTCTACCACGTCCACTTCCTTTGGGGCTGTTTCTTGAAGAAAGAGTTCATCAAGAAGAGCCCCACCCGTTTGAGAAAGTTGACGAGCGTTTCCCCCCTATTGATTTCTGATTCCAAATCCATGGGATCCTACTGCTGATTCGCCGCAATTCTGTACTCCCATTTTAGCGTTGAAGTCACTAAACACAACTTTGTAGTGGATCATAGTTGTGAAGTAGAGGGCCCTCGATGTGTCATAGAACATATCTTCCACCTCGTCGTCCAAGTGTGCCAAGGTCGGTGCGTACACTTGCATAACCTTGAGGCTATACCTCTCAGTGAGCTTGACAATGAAGTACGCTACTCTGTTGAAGTTGAAGGAAATTTCATGTGTGTCGACACATGAAATTTCCACAGCGTTGTTAGCAAGAGACATTTACCAGAAACCCAACGCCACCTTGGGATTGTTGGTCTCACTCGCGGAAGTATATGAGGCAGCCTGACTCGAGGGTTAAGGTGTCCTCCCATTTTCTTCAGGCTTCACGTAGCCCTAGAATATACCACCTAATCTTCCGAAGTTCCACCTCAAGTTGCGCCAGATGCGAGTCTAGCCGTGGCGTACGTCTATTGTACGTAGCCAGGGTCAGTCGGTTGTGGTGGCGTCCCGTAGCCTGGAGATTTTGGAGTTTTTATTGTGTCTGCATCTGGGGATTTGCCCATAATCACCACGCTAGGCAAGCGGGCTGGCGATTGCAGTACGTAGCTTGTCGCACCGGTGGCGTTGCTGCCCGTCACCGAACTGTTGTATTTAGCTGCTCCTATTTGGATGGATATACCGTCATCGGTCGGTCACCAGAGCCTTGCTCGACGTTCAGCAGGATGCACCGCGGGCAGGTGAGGTTGACTTGGGCCAAAAGATGATGGTTCGCCCCATCAAATCCCAAAAAAGTTCACGCGCGTAGAATAGAGGGTAAGATTTCTTCCTATATTTATTTTATATAAACTGCTTGAATAATCGATTCGTAAACATTAAACACAACACACACCAAGCTATTTACATACATACCTACCATTTAGTTTGCTCCGTGCTAGTGAAAGGTATCATTATACCGCCGAAACGCGTGACACAGCGTCATGGATGCTCTCATGCACCGATAGGTCACGCTCTGACAGGCAGGTGGAGCCACTGTCGCAGTTCTCAGAATTGCGCATGCGCGGAATTTATTATTGAAGGTAGATTTTCTCACGATATTGTTCTGATTTTGATAGGTTAGACACATGCAAATAGATATCACAAAATATTGCTAGACAGTTCTAGTGAGTTCGATATGTTGAAATTAGGTTAATAATCTGTGGAGATAGAATCTGGACCTGAAATAACATGGTCCGGGTACTCCCCAGAGCAGGGGAGTACCCGGACCGTACTGCCGAGTCGGGGTGGTTTTAAGTGGAATCACCACATACTAATGGCTCCTGAGTCCCCGAAGAGCAGGAGATCCGAAGGAATTTCATCCCGTCAACAATTTAAAAAAATAGTCTTCTGTACCATAGACAAGGCAAGGTTTTGAATAATTACCATCATAGTGTAATGATTCAAAACCCACCTTGCCACTAAGCTGCATCGACTGTTATGAATTCGATTTCTATACGGGACACTGATTTACTGTATAAAGTTAGGAATAATAATTAAGAGATATAAAGTTAGGAATAAATTATTTAATCACGTGACGCTGAGTTCAACTCAAAGGTAATTTTTCCAAATGGTTCGTAATGAATATGGACTAAATTTTTTTTAATATTATTACTTTACACATTCGATTAGATTTTAGAAGAGATTCGAAAGATTTATCTTTAGCAAACGGCATGGATAGCAGGAGGCCGTGACAGGGCCTCACATAAAACCGTTTCATTGCTTTTCACCGATTGAGTAAGGTTACCGGATCTCAATCTTCTCCATCTCCAAATGCATCAACGCACTTGTAACTGTTAAGTTGCAGGTGTCTATGGGCACCGGTAGTCACTAATCACAAGGTAACACGTCTTCTCGTTTGCTATCATCATCATCAGCCTATAGACATAGGCTTCTCTTATTGCACGCCAGTTTGATCGATTTTCGGCTTCTAATTATTGTTACCTATACCACAAAAAAACCATACAGTTGCTTTCCTGTATCTTGATAACTTCTATTAATTAGTTTTGAAATGACCCACCTACACATACATACATATACTCACGACTTTATCACCATTAAGGGTAAACAGAATCGTAATTGACGCACAATTTTAGTATCACTTAGTACTTTTCTAAAAAATCATACTTTTATGCATATTTGTAAATATATACACTACTTGTCCTTGTCGGGAATAGAACCCACGACCTCTAGCCTAGCTGCCAGAATTGTTAGCCACTAGATCAACAGGCCAGTCAAACAGATCAACAAGCTAGCTTAAAGTATAAAATTTGTAGCATAAGTTATTTCTAAAATTGAGTTTAACGACATCTAGTGACGGGTACAGTGTTTATCGTAAGATCGGTGAGAAATCACAGAACATCCGCTTTAGTAAAATTTAGGTAGATGGAGCTTTTGTGTTGTTATTTTGTCATTATTATAAGAAACGATCTAAAGGAAAACAATTTTTTTTTTCTCTGTAGTTTTAAAACGACGTAGTAGAATTATTAATAACATAATTATTTAAGATTATAACATAAAATAAAAAGTGGCTATTGCCGGCAGCTTTCGCTAGCGTGATTATTACTAATATTTGTAACTTGGAAAATGACGAAATTCCATACAACCATTAATTCCTTATTTTACCCCCTTAAGGGTGGAATTGCCAAAAATATTTTCTTAGTGAGTGATAAGAACATAAAAGCAGCAGCTGCCAAAATTTCAAGTTTGTAGCCCCAACAGTTCAGAATCAGCGTTGATGATCCGTGTGGTGACGGATTAAGAATACAGAGTGTCACCACCCCTATTCATCCCGTGGGTGTCGTATGAGCCGACTACGGGAAAAAACTACGCATAACAACATCACTGCAGAGAGAAGGAAAACTTGACACAAACCCTATACCAACCCGTCTGGCCAGCGAGGTATAGTAGGCCAAAACCTCCTTTCTAAGGAGAGTCCTATGTCCAGCAGTGGACTGGTAAAGGCTGTTGATGTGATGTGATGATGTTGATGAATCAGTCAGTCAGGGTAAGTAAAAATGCCGCAAGTAAAATGCATAGATGATTAGCAATAGTTGTTTAAATTACATATTCGTGCAAGTTAATACGGTTTTCTTCTGATTTGGCATGTTTACTGCATAATTTATAATGAGACATCACGTGGTGGTTGAATTCCGACCATACTTCATTTTCGATTTATTTAATTGGTCATAGGCACAACAACTTGAACATGTTATTTTATAAACTAAATTTGATGAAATGAATTAAATTACATTGATTTAATTTATACCATGACAGCCAATGACAGTGTCTATATTGACATATAGACACTGGATGGAAATCTTTGGTTTTATGTACCCTTTTTAGAATATTTGAAATTTATATCATAACGATCTTCTACTTCCTTTAAATGAAAGCTTAATATATTCATAATTTTACATGCCTGCGTTCTCGAATTTTTCTTAACAGTACACAAACCTATTTAATGTACATGTGTGTATATAATATATAGGTATGTATGTATTTGGATTATAACAAGTTTGGTGATGATTTTGACATTAGTCATAAACTAACAGCATGATTGATCATATTTTCGACTTTGGTATTATTGGATTTAATTAGGTATGCTAATTTTGACATGGTTATAACTTATTCATATTTAAGAGTTGGAGTGTTTGATGTAGTTTTATTGAATTCGAGGTTGTTATGTTTTATTATATATAATGTTATTTATTTGTGGAGTGTGGGTCTACGAAGAATGTATTTCCAGTCAGTATTACTCCGTCGATCAAATGGCTTGGCGTTAAGAGTAACGCAGATTAACAATAATTACCCTTTTTACTATTCTCTCGTTTGTAAAATTTCTGTCGGACTTATGTAATATGAGCATGGGCAATCGGTAACAATATTATGTGTTAGTGAGGTGAAAAAAAAAAATAGTAAAGGAATATATTAGTAAAATAAAAATCATACTTATATATTACATTTTCATTATTCCTTGAATAAAGAGATTACTGTTTAAAATACCGTTAATATTTTATAAACATTTCAATTCACTTGTAATGATAGCCGGTCTGCGGATCAAACTTATGCGGTTGTTTGGGTCCACTGAAGTTTTCTCCAATAACCTTCGCCTGGTTATTATATTCCGGATACCTTGTAGAGTGTTCGACAGTATAAGTCGGGTGCTCACCTTCGGCTAAGGCACTTGATCCAACAGACGTTCCGTCAACCCTTTTTAAATCTTCTTCAGGAGAAAACTGTGTTCCAATAAACGGATTGTTCTTTTGATCTGGAGACGAAACTGATTGTATCTCAGATATGATAGGTCTTCCGAAGCCATCTACAACAGTGTTCTGGTCATAAGTATCTTGGACAGAAGAACGAGTAGGAGGCTGTGTAGTCGTTGAAAATAATTGAGGGAAGCGATTTGGCTGCGAAGGTTGTGAATGTATAATGGAATCGGGTATGGTCCTACTTGAATCGGTACTTGGATAAACTATTTTCGGCGGTCCATATATGTAACCAGAAAATGGGGTGTCAGAAACATGAGGTTCGGACAAACCGGAGCTGATAAGAGAGCCTTGGGAGTGTGGTGAAAATACAGTTGTTGAGGCATATTTAGGTGACGTTATGTCATATCTAATTTCAGGTCCATTTGTAGTTCCTGAATAATCAACAGGTTTTTGATAGTTAATAGTTTGATAATAGTCGGGATTGGATCCAGCATCTATTTTGACAGGGATTTGAGGCCTTACATTATATTCAGAACTAATGGGCTGATACTGAAATCCATTACTAGAGGGAGATAATTGAGGTGGTCTATAAAAGTCTGGCTGATATACAGAAGGCGTTTGTATAGTAGTAGTGGGTACTGGTTTAAATGTAGATGTTAAATGCTCTCGTGGACCGTATTCTCTAGACACCGATGGATTATAAGCGCCGACTTTGACTTCTACATGAGACGAGTAATTTGGTGTAACCGTTGTGTCAATATCAAAGGAAGGTCTTGTAGTTTGATACATGTAGTTTGATGTTTTGGTGTTACCAAAATCATTTAAAGATTCTGGTGTTTTTGAGGTAAGTTTTTGAGCTTCTTGAGTTTTTGAATTAGTTTGCGGAGTTTCAGTATTACCAAATCTGGAAGAGTATGATGCTGTAGGAATAGCAGTATCTGACATATAACTTGGTGTAACTGTCTGTGACGATTGTAGTGGACGACGGGCACCGTTGTTAATTACTTCACTAGGCTGTATATTGTTAGGGACATTTTCTCCTTCGATATCCTGATCATCTTCGTTATCATAGTCAGAGTAAGAACCACCTCTAGGAATAGTGACACGTGATGTCATGAATGGTCGTGGAGTAGTTGATTTGCGATTACTGTTGTATGTTGTATTGTTGTATTGGATCCTGTTCGTTGGTTCGATGCGCACTTTAGGAGTTACAGGTAGCGGTGTGGTAATTTTCTTGAATGTTGTATACAGACGTTCTGTTGTCGAAGACGGGTTTTCAGCTTTCATTCTTGAAGTGAATTCCTGGTTTTTCGGAATATTATAATAATATCCATTTTGATCTACTTGTTGATTAATCTCCTGGTTCGATTGTTGATGGATGTCATATTTCTCGTCAACTGCTTTAATTAGCTCGTTATTAACTGGATTTTGTTTTACATCTTCTCTTATATTGGTAATATCTGAAAAACTATCTTTTGGAGAAGCTGATGCTTGACCGGATCTTGGAAGCTCCTTATTTGCAGAATTATTAACTTGGTTAAGTTTAATGTTCTTATTTTCACTGTGGCCGAACGGATGAGGGTCTTTGAAGTTTACAATATTTGATTGGTCATTGTGTTCGCCTGGAACCAGTGAAATAAATGACTTGTCTGCATCGAAGTCTGAAGTATCGTGAGATCTAGGACTGTCAATGGTTTTTTCATTATTATTTAGAGCAAAAAATGTATTATTTCTATTTTCATTATAATCTTCTTCATATTTCTCATTCTCAAAACCATTTTTATATGAATTATTTTTGTTGCCAATATCAACATGTTCAGGGAATTGTGGTATGGGTTGCTTCTTGTTGGATATATTATTAGTTGCTCCAGACATCGGTCTTAATTTTTGGCTTTCTAATTTATTTCCTTGCAGGCGACGGTGATTTAAAGGATTATAATATTTTTTATACCCATATTTGTTTTCATCATAAGAACCTGTGTAAATAGATAATGTATAGTAATATTATATTTATTATAATTTATTAACAAAATCATTTAGTTGTGAGTCAAATACTTACCATCATCAACAATTCCTGCTTCTTTATCTCTAGCAGCTTGTTCTATAACCCTTTTAATAGCTTCTGGTACTGGTGGAGGAGTTGGTAAATGATCACCATGAGGCTGGAAACCATTTTCGTCAGCGGTGTAAAAAATACTGTAAATTTTTCCATCATCGCCCGTGTAAGAATATGATCCTTTAGCTTTCGTTCCATCTTCAACCACACCACTTTCATCAGCATGGATTCCGTTTGAGGTATCGTAACTATATGAGTAACTATTTGGTGTAAGGACATTTTCATAGTTGAGAATCACAGCGCCTCTATCCCTCGCTGCCTGTGGTCTTTCAAAATACCTAATGGAGCCACTAGACGAATCAGGTGCTACGGAGGATATAAAACTTGGAGTAGTACTAAGAACATCTCTATGATCTTGTCCAAGTTGTTTAAATTCTGTTTCTCTCAGTAGTTCGGGGTTTAACGTACTTTGTACTTCAGGCAAAAATTGCTTCTGGGACGTTCCAACATTACTATAACTTGGGTAGTTTTGATTATATGGAGATAGAGGAGTGTTAATATAGGTGTTGCTTAGAGGAACACGTTCAGTTGAAACACCTTGGTTTTGAATTTCACTGTATTGATTTTGAGGAATTAAGTTTTCTTGTACAGTAATAGGGTGTGGGTGAACGACATTCAGATCTGAATTCGTTTCTTTGTCTAGTTGTTCACTTGGATATTGTTGAAAACCCGGGTTAAAAATTGGTTGCTGAAAATTAGAGCTAGGAATCAGAACATCATCTTCAGTGCCAATAATGTTTTGATTTTGATTCTGATTTATAGAGCCGGGTAGAATATTAAAGCTGTGGGCGTCATCTTGTTGGAAATAATTTGGCAAGTTTTGATTGTGAAACAGGTTATTATTTTGATCAAGGTTTGGAACTGGAAGACCAATAATAGGATTTATTGGTATAGCAGTCGTGCCATAACTTTCAATAGATGGATAAGTTGTGGTTTGCGTAAATGCGTAAGATGTTGTAGTGATAGGTGATTTGATCAGTGATTCTTTAGATTCCTTATAACTATTTGGAACGTAACCAACTGGTATAGATCCAGTTTGAGGAAGATTGGGTGGTTCTAAAGGTGCTAGAATATCATTAGGGTTTCCTCCAGCAAACTGAGCTCCCGGTGGTGGAAGATATGTTCGATCCAGTTTTTCAGAAGCCGTTAGGCTTATAGCCAGAAACATCTGCAAGTAAAATATAAGTTTATTTTTTATACATGACATGTTATTCACTGCGTTGGAATTTGCATTTTCTTTGCGTTAAATCATTTTCTTATTTATTAATTGGAATCAATAAGTCATACTGTGAATATTGTAAAATCCTGCCTAAAGCGTTAGCTTACCATACACCACCACGTTCATTATTCAAAAATATTATTAAAAGAAATTGTTTTTTTTTTTCAGTTAGATTGAAAACACTACCATCCAAATTAATTCGAATGCAAGTTTTTTCTATTCTAAAACTTTTATCCAAAAAAATGTACTAAAACCAATGTTGCTCTTTCCTATTTTTGTTTTGCACATATTAAGCACTATTCACTTCACTTCAAATTCACCAATAAAATAAAATAAATGCAAATAAACTGAAGACACCAACCGAAAGCCACTTCATCTCGTACGATGTATCCTCACCAGGAATTATTTGAGATGTGTACAGTCCCAAATTACCATTTGATATTTATACCACTAAAACAAAACTATAATGACCATTTAGTTGTCTTTGTACGTGACAGATGGACACGGCGTGACAATAGCCTAATTATTGCTGTCATATCTAAACATTTTTATTTTAATATTTCGTCATTAAATTATAGGGTCTTAGCAGTTCTTGTGGCTCGCACTGTAACTTGTTGGTGACAAACGTTTGAGCATGCTTTGAAAGTGACGTAACAATTATAGACTCAATTATGTTTCACATCACACATCAACAGCCTTTAACAGTCTACTGCTGGACATAAGCCTCTCCTTGGATAGGAGGTTGTGGCCTACTATACCACGCTGGCTAGACGGTTTGGTATAAGGTTTTGTGTCAAGTTTTCCTCCTCTCTGCAATGCTGTTATTGTTGTTGTAATTATGTTTAATGCTTTCAAATTAAGAGCTTTGGAGTTTGACTCGTTTTCATGAATCTGTTTTCCTTAGTATTAGATATTACAAATTAAAACTAAACTTATATCATCATCAAACAAGCAGCAGTAATAACAAATCCTATCCAGTCCTTACTCCAATTACCAAGGATTTATTATATTTATTCTCCAGACGACCGGAGCAGTAACACATTTTTTTTTTAAACTTAAATAAAGTATTGTGCAATAACTTTATTTTATTTTATTATATTCCGGGAGCTTACGGCTAAATTTACAAAATAAATATGATGTTAATTATCTAGATGCCATTTACAGGCTTCCACGTGTAGAAAGAAGACAGTGCTGGTATCTATAATAGACTTACACATACATGGATAGTTACAACAATTTAGCATCTAATGAATGATAATGTCCTTATTTCAATAAGTTAACTTTTAGAAAGAATTGATAAAAGAAACGACAGTTATATATTTCATACCAATCAACAGCCAACACAAATCATTGTTTTAAACAAATATTAATGAACCAATATGCACGGATGGCGTAGTGGTTTAAGCGGTCGCCACGCCGCTTCCTACTACGCCGAGTGTTGTGGGTTCAAACCCCACATGGGACGACACTTTGTGTGATCCACAAATTGTTGTTCCAAGTCTGGGTGTTCTTTGTGTCCGTTTCATGTATGTTTGTAAAGTCCTCCGCGACATAGGATTTATTCCTAATGCGGGAGTTGTCTTTTTAAAAAACAAAAAAAAAAACAAAACAAAAAATATAGTTAGTTCAATTATTTTGTTTATTTAAGACCATTCTTTGTTAGCAAATCATAATTAATCGTAAGCATCATTGATTTAAGTTTTGTGTTTATAATCCTGTAAACGAATGCCTTTAGGCGGGCTACATACACTACAGCATTTCATAGGCGACTATTACGTCCCAACCCCACAACCAATAGAATATTGGACAAAGAAATAAATAGAACCGAAATAAAAATGTTTGAAATGTTTTTTAATCCTCATTTCTTGAAATAAAGGCAAAACTTATAAATAGGTAAAACTGCAATTTAATCACTGCATTTAAAGTAAAATTATTAAATGTGTAAAATAAACTCTCTTATTTATTTTTAAATACATTCATTTACATAAATTATACCGAGACACAGAACAAATATGATAGTACTCGTCGCACAATATTTATCCTGGGTGGAGATTGAACCCGCGTTGTGTGGTTTAGCAGTCACGATCTCTTGCCACTTGACAAACAAAACCTGTCAATGAATAATTCATTCAAAGGGACCTACAATGTACAATCAATCTATCTATCTAATAATAATAATACCGGATTGATAGCCAAGAGCCTCGACAACTACTTTAAAAGGCTCACGTTAGACGGCTGGATCAATGGTCTGATGCAAAAGGCAGCGTCCTTGACACGGCCTGTATTGTGAAGAGGTTCCTGTCTTTGGAGTCCTAACCACCAGTGTCTTGGTCCCTTGGTACTCGATGTCAGTGGTCAACTGTTTTTCATATTTTTTAATATGTATTATAGCAAGTTTTATAAAGTGTAAAAATATAATTAACATGTGTATAAAATAAATAAGGAGAATAATAATAATATTCTCGGTCATCTGAAACACAACGCCATCTAGTTTCAAACTAAGCAGAGCTTGTACTATGAAAGCTAGATGTATCTGTCTCCACAGTTTTTGATTATTATTAAGATTAAATGAGTGTGACTAATCGCAAAACGCAGTCTCGAGTATGTGGGCTGCCTTAAGCACATACAGCATAGTGAAAGGCCCACGATCGCGTCGCTCGGTCCCAAGTGAGATAATCTTTATTGTCCGCTATAATTACCCGAAGTTGCCCGTGAACTGTGAACTTGCGCTTAAGGCGATATTCAAGCGTACATATTATGTACTAGCTGAGACCCGCGGTGTTACCCGCGTTTGTTGTTATAACCGCGGGCAACGCCGCGGGACGAAGCTAGTCTAAAAAAAGTAGCCTAAGTTACTCCTTATGTCATCAGCTATCTGCCAGTGGAGGTCCCGTCGAAATCGGTCCAGCCGTTCCAGAGATTACCCGGAACAAACAGACAGACAGACAAAAAATTGTAAAAAATGTTATTTTGGCATATGTACCGTGTAAACATGCATATGCCTTTAGTAAAAAGCGGTTATTTTAATATTACAAACAGACACTCCAATTTTATTTATTTGTATAGATATTGATAAATTTATTAACAGTAGATAATAATGAATACACCTAAAAAATGTTTTTTTTCCCTGATATTACGTCTACAATACGCGACTTTTACGCGTCTTGTAGATGACATTTAAAACCTTACAATACTAGGTATGTAGTAGGAACCGGGCTCTTATAACTATACATTTTTACCGGTACTACATATTAGATTTGTGTTCAAATTAAAACCACCTGACTTTCGGACATTCTTTGCCCTGCTGAAGAAAGCATCCCAATAGTAATAAATTCTAGGTATATCTCGGTAAGCGGGATCGGGAGAGGGCCAATGCGTTCCTGGAGCTCCTCCCGACTGCCGAGGTAGGCCGCCGTGGGGTTTAGTGGGTAGACCGGTTCTCCGGGAGTCCCACACACGCCCTGCGTTTCCCCAAGGGTATGGTGCGAAAAGCATTCCCCGCGTGACAAAAAAAAAAGGTATATCTCAGTAACGTATTATCATGTACTGCTTGTAATATATACTAAATCATTGAAATATTTAAACCTCTTCCTATATATATGGGAGAACCAATACAAAATTAAAAAATAGCGTATCTACTTACTCCCAATTCAAAGACCGGCAACGCAATTGTGATTCTTAAGTTGCAAATTTTCGTCTGCTCATTTGCTACCAATACCTTAAAATAGCTTCACCTTAAATGGCCATTCATAAGCATACCATTATAAAATTCTGCACTTAATGATGAAATTTATCATTTGACTGTTACTTATCGATGTCATAACGCATTGTGCATCGATTAAATTCGATATAGATCTTTTCAGTTCCCACTGCCAACACTATTTCAATTGTAAAAGGATGTTGCAGACGAATCGATTTACGAAATCGATAATGTATTTAGATGAATGATAGCGATTAAAGATGATGGATTAAGTAGCTAGGTCATTGTTCTATTTCTTTGTTTGTTGGTAATATCTGTCTATATTTGTGTAACATTAAATACTTTAGGTTACTTAGATCAATTCCGAACCTTCAATGGTTAAGACTTTGCTGCGTGACTCGAGGCGGGCGTTTATATATGTCTTTTTTATGTATACAAATATTTGTTTCGAAGTTTTCTAAGTATAATATGTATGTATTTATAAAAACAACGTATATAAGTATTCGGCGGCGTTGTCGTTCATCATCATCATCATCAACAGCCTATACTAGTCCACTGCTGGACATAGGCCTCTCCTTAGAACGGAGGTTTTGGCCTACTATACCACGCTGGCCAGACGGGTTGGTATAGGGTTCGTTTCAAGTTTTCCTTCTCTTTGCAGTGATGTTGTCCTGCTTAGTTTGCTCCCTTAGTCGGCTCTTACGACACCCACGGGATGAATTGGGGTGGTGACAATTTGTATTCTTAATCCGTCACCACACGGACAACGTTGTCTGTCAGTTATCCGAAATATTATTGTTTTTACCAGCATTGTTTTTCGTCTTAACTACTTTTCTTTTGAACTTCCAATTTTCCGATCCAATTTCTAAATTGGCTGGTTGACGGCAATAGTCTTAGCCCCTAAAGCATAAGAGAGAGTAATTATAGTCAGTCAAATTTGAGCCTTTAATACTCCTGTGTCTACTCTTTCGGATCCTTGATAGAGTAGACAAAGTCGTGAGTGTATTTAGCACCAAGTACACATTAATATACTTCCATACTAATAACATAATATACTTACATAATTATACAAACATTTGGTCCAACCCGGGAATCGAACAGCAGCACAGCAGTCGCGTATGCTACCACTGCACCATCGAGGCAGTCAAATAGGGAAGGGAATACCACAGGCGACAATTTTTTACAAGATGTATTAGTGAATGTGTGTGGTCTTCAGTAAAGACTTCATAACTAATGTTGTAATAGGCGCCTAAATAGTTGTGTCAGATAAGCTAAATTTGTTTATGAAATGATTGATTAACTCCAATCGTTGAACTAACCCATCAAACCAAACAGGTGATTGATGATGAGTGTAATATATGGTATCGTAATGGTCTTGTCTTCGCTTGTAGTTCTATCATTTGTTTTGCGAGCTTCAATTTTATCAAAATGTATCAAAATGACCATTTCGGCATTTACAGCGATAATGGATATAATTTTCGCATGATCGTAATTGACAACTTTTCCTCGAAAAATTATTTTTATTTTATTTCTGGTTTCTTTAGTTGCTCAAAGGGCTCCCTGAATTTTTAATCAAAATATTTTAAACAATAATGCTCCAGAAGTAGGGGAGTCATGCTTCGGCACAAACTTTAATGGGCTGAGTGGTACTACGGCCTCACAAAAACTGGCAAAAC